TCGTTATACATATGACTCATATATACTCTACCGTTACAAAAGAAGCTCATATATACCCTTCATCTTGTGAAAGTTTACTTAAATTTTTAAAAAAATAATCATGTAGGGGTATATATGATCCTTCTAGCAAAGTTGAAACAAAAAAGTAAAAAAAAAAGTACGTGTAAGGAGGATCAAATCTTTCCATATGGATTATATTTTTAACTTCCACAAAAGGAAAAAGGGTATATGTGAGTCATTTGTATAACAGTAAGAGTATATATGAATCATTTTCATAACGAGGAGTATATCAGCTCTAAATAACAAAATTGAGGGCTATATCATGCCATTTTCCCATTTTTCTTTTAATTTATTGATACTTATTTTTGTATTAATTTGTTTGTCTAGTTTTAATTTGGTACGGATATGTTTAGAAGTGTTCCAAATTTTATACTTCATTTTAAAAAAATCAATTATTACAGGGGTGGAACACGTCGGAGGAGATATGTTTGAAAGTGTTCCAAAAGGAGATGTTATATTTATGAAGGTATGCATGCACATACCTCAAATTAATTAAAAATTCATATTAAAAAGGTTTAGTAGAAAAAATAATTATTTATAACGATTCGTTGTTTCTTCAAAATATTGACATTTTGTGTTTATTAATATTGATGGAAGTGGATTCTTCATGACTGGAGTGATAGTCAGTGCGTGAAGTTATTGAAGAGCTGCTATAAAGCTACACCAACAGAAAATGGGAAAGTAATAGTTGTTGAGGCCATTCTACCAGTAAAACCTAATCATAGCTCTGTGATTAGCGTTTCACAATTTGATATGATCATGTTGGCTACTTCTCCTGGAGGCAAAGAGCGTTCTGAACATGAGTTTCGAGCACTCGCAATTGAAGCTGGATTCAAAGAAATTAACTTAATTTGTTGTGTTTGTAATTTTTGGGTCATGGAATTCTACAAGTAGCTTTACCTCTACTACTTGACTCTAAATGTCATCCATTCATATTATTGTACTGATTTTCTGTTACTTTGTTTCTCTAAAGTAATAATTCAATTATCAAATGCTCTTCTACACTTCTAAAATTTGAGCTTCAAAAGTTCTTCAACGGTAGATTTCAATAAACATCAAATCAAATCTTCCTCTAAATAACTCAAGTTATATATAAGTTGCTTGTTTCAATTTTTTTGATATATTATTCACTCAAAACAATTCGCTTTTGCGGTCAGTCAAATTTTAAATTTGAGCTTTCAATTTCTTCTTTGGTAGAATTTGGACTTCCATTTGACTTGTTCATTTTATTACTTCTAAATAAAATGATCGGTATTTCATTAATTTCTCTTGGTTTTGTTGGGAGAATAACATCAAGAGAAAGAAAATTATGCATGGCAAATTCTCATTTAAACAGAGGAAGATGATGAAGAAAAAACAGAGGAAAATAAAGTTACATGGCTATATTCAGTAATAAAGCAATAATTGAGCTATTTTAAGTAATAAAAATGACCGAATGATCACTTTGATTAATTATCTCCAGATCATGTTGGTGTATATTATTCGGATCTACATATATATAAACATTCTTTTTGAGGATGTATTGAACTTTAAATGACGACTCAAAAGCAGATATTTGTAGGCTTCCCTTTCTCCGCGAATCACAAGCACCAATTAACTGAGTTCAAATTAGACATTATTAGTACTCCCGCCTTTTTTTTAATTAGAAAAAGTGATCCCGCCATATTTCAAGAATGGACATTAACAAGCTTGATCACTTTAAAATTTTCCTAATCCCTGGTGCATTAGGATTAGGAAACTAATGCACATAAAATTAGTAATAACACTCCGATTAAACTTGGGATTAATCCTCTCTCTATAAATTTATCAACCAATAATCTTTTAATCATTCAATAATTTTAATTTCTTTTTACAATGTCGTACAATTACATGTTCAAATTCATAATTGTGGGAGAAACTGGAGTTGGAAAAACTTGCCTGCTTTACCAATTGACATCGGCGCGGTTCAAACCGGTTTACGAGGTCACAATCGGAGCTGAATTCGGATCCAGAACGATCACCGTCGACCGGAAGCAAATTAAGCTGCAAATATGGGACACGGCGGGACAGGAAAAGTTCCGATCACTCACGAGATGTTTTTACAGAGGCGCTGTTGGGGCTTTGCTAGTTTACGATGTGACTAAGAGGCATACTTTCCAGCAGCTCTCGAATTGGCTCGAGGATTTACAAAAACACGGCGATGAGAAATTGACAGTAATGGTGGTGGGGAACAAGTGCGATCTCGACGAAGAAACTAGGGCTGTTAGTAAAGAGGAAGGCGAGGAATTCGCGAAGAAGAATGAGTGTTTGTTCATGGAAGTTTCTGCTAGAACGGCAAAGAATGTGGAGGTGGCGTTCGGTATCGCGGCGGAGGAAATATGTGGGAAGATCGGAAAGGGGGATTTTGGGACGCTGGAGGGATATAAGGGAATTACAATTGGGAATTCGAGAGGAAAAAGTAAAAGATTTTACTCATGTTGTGGTTGACGCCCGTTGTCAACTTGTTTATATACTAAGAAAACTGCCATCCCAATTAGATCACTATCTTATTGAATTTGTAGTTTAATTGTTAACTTAATCTGGTTTTAAGTTTGCCTCACTTCGTTCTCGTTTTTGAATGTCTTCGATTTTACAATTCTAAATAATACATTAAATTCTTTAATTTTACTTGTAATGTTGTAAACAGGATAAAGAGCATATAGATCAAATATCGTTGAGAAATCTTTAACTTCCCAAAGTCTGTCAAACTATGTCCACGTTCTTAATGTATTTGATTTAACTATTCCGAGAAGCGATATATATTGAATAACTTAATCTCTATTCTAACTTGCAGCATGAACATGTTAAACAACATGTAAATCAAATTAAACAACTCTCAGTTTGTGTTAGAACTATTACTCTGTGAAGAGATATAAGAGAATTGTCAGTCAATTTTGCTTCTGGTCTATTACATGTCTTCATCTTTATGTTCAAAATTGATTTCATTATCATTAGGAACATTAGCTCATAAGAATTCATATCCGTAATAATAAAAATAGAAGCAACCCTTCTTGAACAATAAAGGTATAGTTTCATATGATATTCAACCGGTATTATATTAAGGGAAAAAGGACCGATTTACCCTCGAACTTTAATAAATGGTACATCTATGCCCTCCGTTATACTTTGCGTCCACATAAGCCCCTGCCGTCCAATTATAGGTACACACATGCCCCTCTCACTAACGGACCCCTCATTTTTTACACGTGTCTTAATCCTAATGAACTACGCGTTGGGGTGGGTGGGATTTCCTTTTCACGTAAGTCAATTAATTGAATTATATTCTATAATTTAAATTAAATACTCTAATAATAAATCATCTACAGGAAGATCTATCTTTTCGATTGTGTACGTATTTAATAATATTATCTTAAATTATTTCACGACAAACACTTCAAATTATTTGTGTTAGTTGATTTGTTAATTATTCCACCAATGACATAATTAGGTAATTAAATATCATTTTATTATTGGTTGTTAAAAGTGACAAAGTTATATCTGGCATTATTTCTCATGCCCAAATTTCTTTTTAATAATTAGTATAATTATATTATAGACATTAGAATGACTAGTAATAACCAACGTGGGTTGTGGTGCACTGGTGGGAGTGTTTCACTCTAAACCAGAGGTTTCGGGTTCGAGCCCTTGGTATGGAAAATATTTTGTTGGGAGCGTCACCCTCAAATAAACCCCACAACGCTCGATGCGAATTTAATCGAAGCTCTAATATAGACTCTGGACACCGAGTGGAAAACCAAAAAAAAAAAAAAGAAATGGCTAGTAATAATGCAGTAGCAGTTACGTAGACTATAGATTCTAAATAAGATTATAAAATCTGCAATATATCATGTTAAATTAGGTCTTAGGTCTAACTCACACCCCAAAAGCTTGCTCAAAGGGAGAAGGATTGCCCAAGCCTTATAAGGAGTATACCCATCTCATTAACCACCAATGTGGGACTTTTGTTATTCTTTAACACCCCACCTCACACCTAGTGCTTAGCATCTGGTGCGTGGGCAATTTTGTTTTTGGAGGCCCCAACATTGGGTGAGACGGGCCCTGCTCTGATACCATGTACGTAAATTGAGAAAAGTTTGAACATGAAAAGAGAGAACTAAGAGAGAAGAAAATTCATTGTATTGAGAATGAAAATATGACTAGATACATGATCTTTAGGATATATATACATATTCATATTTCTGTAAATAACTTCTAACTAATCAACTTTTCAAGTTGTTGTAACTACCATACAGTGAAAGGACTAAACTATCTTTCCTACTTGTAACTAACTTTAACAGTCCCTTACATCTTCTTGTATCTCAATAATGTTAACATGAGAAATTTGACTAATGCTTGCAACATTTCAAATAAATAGGTCTTCTCCATTAATGAGTCTGTTACACAATAATTTCATTAATGAATTCTTCTCCATCTCTATTACCCAACAAACTCTTCTCCATTAACGACAATAAAATTTGATCCTTTTGACTTTCAATTTTGATTTTGAGCTATCAATAAATTTTCAAATTAGAGAAACGTATATAATTTGAAGATGGGAATTTACTTAGTGAACTGTACCTTCTTTGCCACCTCATCATTGAAGGAGCAAATAACTTCACTTTAAAATAGTCATAGGGGTAATATGACTTTCATTAAGAATAAGTGTGTAATTAAAAATTTAATAATAAATTAAAGAAATATTTGACTATTTTCTCGCTTAAAAATATATACTTAAAATCACTTTTTTATTTTACCTAACACTACAAAATTACTCAAATCTATTTTGGCTTTGAAAGTTGAAATGCGTCAAATAAGTCAATCCACTATCAAAACACTCATGTTATATATGAGTGTGAGGGTTGAAAGAGCACTAATTAAGAGGAAATTATATTGAGAAAGTGTTGAGCTAATTGATTTAAGGCATGGCAAACAATCAACTACCAATTAGTATTGGCTCAGAAAAAGAGGGCAATTTTATACATGCAATGCAATTATTGTCATCATCAGTACTTCCCTTTGTGTTGCATTCAACAATTGAATTGGATGTATTTGAGATCTTAGCCAAAGCTAATGATACTCAACTTTCTTCTTCTCAAATTGTTTCTAAAATGCCTTGCAACAACCCTATTGATGCAGCCAATATGTTAGACAGAATGCTTTATGTGTTGGCTACTTATTCTTTGCTCACTTGCTCCATTAATAATAATAATGTTAGAATCTATGGTCTGTCACCAGTGGGAAAGATGTTTGTTAGTGATAATGAAGATGGTGCATCTTTGGGGACACTATTGGCTTTGCTTCAACATAAAGTAGTCATTAACACCTGGTAATTGTTCTCTCTTACACCTTATTATATATTTATTCTAGAGAAGTATCGAAAACACCTCTAAATTCGGCACGAATTATTAGTTTTATCTCTGAATTTTTGATAATCATAAAAACACCCATTTACTTTACTAACTAAACTTAAATACAGTCCGGATCTTGCAACATGAGTGAAATACATTCTAAATTTTCGCTAAATTTAGGGGTATTTTCAACACTTCTTTCGGCTATTTATTAAGAGTTTGATACTCATACAAGAGTTTGAGACCATTTTCTATGTCATGTTGTTGATCGAAGGTATATCTAAATTTAATTAGGCAAGTCGAGAGGTGTAAAAGACTGTCAATATTTCGAAGACAAAACAAAAAATTTGCACTAACTTTAGAAATAATATAGTAAAATAATCATGTTAATCATTAGTTTGTAATGAGTGTGTCAATCATATTTTAAGAAGAAAAAAGAAGTCACCTATTACTAAAAATTGTCATTCAATCATACACATTTTTTTCATAAAATATGATCAACGCAGACATGACCGACCTCCTCCTCCTTCTTCCTCTACTCCCTCTTTCTTTGTTGCTTATCCTTTAAAATTCGACATATCGTAAATATAAATTGTTTCGAGCTAATTATATATTGAAAGATTCAAAATAACGAGAGAACTTCATATTTAAAATATGGAATTGTTTAGAGGTGATTTTGAATTGATCGAGATTGAATAGTCAATATATATTTCATATATAGTGCGTGTACATTTCATGTATAGTTAAGCTATATTAAGTTTTTTGAGTGTATCATAATGTATATTCAGTGTGTATATTTCATGTATAGGTAAACTATATTGTATAGTCAATGTGTACTTTCTAAATTGCTGGTTATTTTTTATGTAAATAAAATTGTAAAAATTAGGCAAATCACATAGTATAAGAAAGAAATTACTTCCTATCCCTACTCTTTCATTAATTACCAAAAATCCCTTTTTTAGTGTCTTTCGGATACATAATATAGCAGCGCGGATACTTTAATTAATAAAGGGCGGATACTTAAATTATTAAGTTGTTGGCACGGATACTTTAATTAATAACGGGCGGATACTTAAATTAACGGGAGGATGCATAATATAGCAGCGCGAATACTTTAATTAATAACGGGCGGATACTTAAACTAATAAAGTATCCGATTAAGTTGAATTGGGGGAAAATAAGGGATTTTTGTATTTTAGTAAAAGAGTAGGGAAATATTGAGAATAGGTAAAGTAATATTGTGTATTTAAGTAATTTGTCCAATAAAATTTCACTATATTTATAACAAACTAATTACTTTATTGCACATATTTGAAACTTTCCTTATAAAATATTCAAATAAGGACCATAAACGGCCCTAGACTATTTCAGAAAATCTAAATATATCTTTCATCTACCTATTTTGCTTAAGAGCATCTCTCCTCTCACTTTCTCCCTTATAACAAACAGTCCTCCTTTTTTATAAAAAAAAAAAAGTGGACTTATATTTTTATAAATTAATAAAGTTGTCGAAATATATTTTTATAAATTAATTTTATTATTTGTACCTGTTATTACCAAAGTGGACTTATAACGATAAATTACTAATTGATAAATTTAGCCCATTATTTGCAAAGTTCAAAAGCAAATTAAATTAGACTTTAGATCATCTCTCACTCATTTCTATCTAATTTAAATTAAAATCACAGGTTTGGATTAAAGGATACAGTTCTTGAAGGAGGATTTTCATTTGAGAGGATACATGGTGTAAATTTATTTGAATATCAAAAGACGGATCCCGAATTAAGTGATGTTTTCAACAAGGCAATGATTAGTCATACAACTTTGGTGATGAAAAATATACTTGACACCTACAAGGGTTTTGAAAACATCAAGACTTTGATTGACGTGGGAGGTGGTCTTGGAATAAACCTCAACATGATTACATCTAAATACCCAACTATTAAGGGCACTAATTTTGATTTACCTCATGTTGTTCAACATGCCCCATTCTATGAAGGTACCTTTCTTATTTTTGTTAGAGAATAGGCTAAAATGATATAGAACAATTATTCATTTTTTAAAAAACTAATTATTCCAGGGGTGGAACACATTGGAGGAGATATGTTTGAAAATGTTCCACAAGGAGATGCTATTTTTATGAAGGTACGTACCTTAAATTAATTAAAATTACTAGTATGAAAATAATAATTTGTTGTTCCTTTAAATTATTGACAATTTTTATTAATGATGTATATATAAATGTAAGTGGATTCTTCATAACTGGAGTGATAGTCAGTGCGTGAAGTTACTGAAGAACTGCTATAAAGCTACACCGGCAGAAAATGGGAAAGTGATAGTTGTTGAGGCCATTCTACCAGTGAAACCTGATCATATCCATAGCTCTGTGGTTATTTCACAATTTGATTTGATAATGTTAGCTCAAACTCCGGGAGGCAAAGAGCGTTCGCAACACAAATTTCGATCCCTCGCAACTGAAGCTGGATTTAATGGAATTAACTTTATGTGTTGTGTTTCTAATTTTTGGGTCATGGAATTTCACAAGTAGCTCTACCTTTACTATTTCACTCTAAATATCATCCAATAAATAATCTTTCCATTTATTTGTATTTGTCCAATATGTTTTCTCTAGTTTGTGTTAAGTGAGTTGTTGGACCTTTTTCAATAGTTTGAAATAAGTGAATTACTCAAAGTTCAAAAAAATTATGGGACCTTTATTTTTCTTTTCAAATTTGCCTTTCATTTAATGAACTTCTTATTTACTTTACATTTCTAGGAGAATAGTTTGGAAATAATCAAAAGGGTAATAGTGGAAAATAACATTTGACTTATGTTCTTAAATATTTTTATTAAAGGGTGTGACATACCCCAATACTTTACTTAATTGGGACTAGAGGGAATATATACTAAAAAGGAATACCTTTTATATTTTATTTATCACTTTTAGCATATCATGAGAAAAAGTCATTTTATATCTAATATTAAAGCTTTCAACTGGGTCGGTGGTTGGTTTTTGGCCCATTAAAACCGGCACACATAGTAATTGTACTTGGTCGGTCCGGTGATTTTTGGCCTCAGCTCAATAGGACCGGCCTGGTAAGGGACCGGTAGGTGGTCCATCGGTTTACCGGTCCGGTAAGCGAATGTTTTTTTAAAAAAATATTGACCGTTGGGGAACTTTTCATAAAGTGGCCATCGGCCCAACGGCAACTTCATGAAAGGTGGCCCAAAATTCAATTTTATTTTTTTTAAAAAAAAAAATATCCTACAATTTTTATCTATAAATACTTCTTACCAGTGTTTTAAAAGGCGGGGGATATGAGTCGAGACATTTTATGTCATACGGGACGAGATGTAAGCCCGAGATACTGAGTGTAAGTCTTATGGATCTACGGGGCGTAGTCTCATATATATTCAATTTTATTATTTTATTACTAAGAAAAATAAGCATGAGTAAAACTTTCAATTATTTTACAAATAAATTTTAATAAAAAACCTATAATATATAGAAAAAAATATTATGATTTTATTTGAGAAAAGTATTAACAACCAATAATGAAGAAAAAAAGTATTACAATTACTATTTGAGAAATATCATTACTCCAATAATAAAAAATATGATTTATAGAAAAAAAGGTTCAAAAACAATTTAAAAAAAAATCCCAGGGCGTATGCTTTTACACCTAGGCTTACATTTTCACGTTTGGAGCTTACGCCCCCAAATTCTAGGTATTATGTCTTATGGATCTACGTCTTCAGTTTGCGCCCCGAAGCATTTTTGGTATGCCCCACCCCGAGACTCACTCAGGACTCACCCCAAAAAACATTTTTGAAAATACTTATTCTTACATTTCATTATTTTTCCTACAACAATTTTCTAATTCTCTCTCAATTTCTTAGTTCTCTCTTAATGTGATAGCAATCTAATATTATATTTTGCAATAATAATATCAAGTTGAAGTTTTCTAGTTTCAAGTGTTCGATATTACATCAAATTTATGCTTCTTTCTTTATCTCCGACAATTTGGTAAATTTGTTCCCTTTATAGCTTTAATTTACGTGTATTAATTTTATAATATTTAATTATATTATTTTTGTATTTATAATTTTTTTTCATTTTAATTTGCATAATGGATACGTTTAAAAAAAGTAGGTAGAAATGTTAAAAATTTGTATTCCGGAGATAGTAGTGTTAGTAAGAAAAAAAATTGTTTCGATAGAGGTTGTACAAGTAAATTTTATTCTCATATGCTTGAAGCACCACCTAGTGAAATTTGGAGAAAAAGGTGCAGGTACACATGATATGAGTGCAAGTATTCTATATTTCTATTATATAGATAGTATATTGTGTGTATATTTAGTATATATTATAAGAATATATATAATCTAATGTAAGTATTCTATTATAATATATATGTACATTATATTTAGTATAACTTACATAAATTTCAGAGTGTAAGGACCTAAATTACATTTTATCCCTATTTTTTTTCAATTTACAAAAATTCCTCAAAATCAGTGCTATCCGAATACATAGCAAACAAGTCGAATACACTAAAACAAATTCAGTTACACTTTTAAAGGAAAGATAATATTAAAACAAAGTCAGTTACACTTTTAAAGGAAAGAGAATATAAAATTGAATGTGAGTTCCCCAAATCAGCTAATCTCGTTGATTTTAATCTCTCCCAGATCTTAACAGATTCAATCAAATCAAAATTCAAATTTTCTTCTCTCAATTCTCTTCCAAATCCGCCCAGCTTCAAGTCAAAATTCAAATTTTCTTCTCTCAATTCTATTTGAAATCCGTCTAGCTTCAAACAATTCAAGTTTTCTTCTTTCAATTCTCACCCAAATTGTAGTAAATTGAAAAAAATCGAAAACAATAGTTGATACATGATGAATACATTTAGGAATCTGGAAAAGCAAGGTGAGTTATGAACGATACATAAGTGATGGATTTTAAATTTCTTCTCTAGTTCATCGAAGATCCTTTCTATTTTGTTAACAAGATATTGATGCATCTTTCAGGTTTTCTCTATAACAACTGTCATTCACTATGTCGTCACTCAAAAAGGATCTATATATCCTATATATGTCCTAATCAAAGCCAAAGGTAGAATCAAAGTCGATTATACCGAAACTATTTTCGAGATTGATAGATTTATCAGTATATTACTATTTATGTATCATTTAAATTGATAAGTGTTGTATTTCTACTAGATACATTAAATAAGAAATTGTTGCCTATAAGATGTTAGGTTTGAAATTGATACATTATTGTTCGGTAATTGTTATGTATCAGATTCATTTGGTATAAATTTGAATTTACGTATCATGCCTGAAAAACTAGTGCATATGATACATTATTATTTATGTAACTTATTTTGTTTGAGAGCAGAATCCATATGTATCAGAAATTTGTAGATGAAAAGGTTGATACATGATAAATGATATATTTGGTAGAATTTTTATATCAAGTATCAATACTAATTAAGGTTATGTATCAAAACTAATATTTGAACACAATACATTGTGCATGATAGAATTGTAACGTATCATAATGTTGAAACGAAAACAGTATACATTAGTTTAAGAAACAAAATCAACTAGATACATTAAAAATCTTATCAATATGTATCAGAAAGGCAAAAGTACCCACTACCCCCCTGAACTTGAAGCTTTTTATTTGGTGTACACCTAAACTAAATTTTGTTTTAATTACCCCCTCTCCCCCCCCCCCTCCCTCCCAAATTTGTTTATCCCTTCGTCGCGTACACCTTTTGTGTCCACCTGCTCCTATTGTGACTACACGCGCGCGACAGCTGGCAAAAGTAGTGATGTGGATTTCCACCTGGATAGATAATAGCCACCTAGATAAATTAATATGGCAAAAAATAAATATCAAACCTTCTCACCTAGGCTTCTCACCTAAAACTTTTGGACTAAGCTTCTCACTAAAATTTTCGGAATAAACCCGAAAATCTTCAACAAATTAATATTTAGTACTGAAGAACTCAGATTAAATGCCAGTACAAGACTTTTATTGTTGGGAATAAAACAAATTAATTTTAGATTAAAAAAAATCGGTGGGAATTGGGGTTGTTTCTACAAAAGTATCTTGAAGAAGATGGGTTGCAGGGGAGGGGATAGGGTGCTGCAAAATAGATTTTAAAATAGTTAAATTAATTAGGTAAAATGCTACTTGTCATTTATTCATTGGATAGTTTTTCTTAAATTTAAAATTCATTGTTTAAAAGTTATTTTTGAATAAGGGCTGATTTCGCGGAACTCCTTGAATTGCAAATTTGTCTGAATTCTTACCAAGTGTTAATCTTTGTTTCCTTTACTTTTCAGTTACATTTTTCCCTATTTTTCATTTAAAATATGCCAAATATTAAAGAAAAATGGAGATTTTATGTTTTTTTACCGTTGTAACTTTATGATGTGGCAAAAAATCACTTCCTCACGCGCCTAGTAGAGTGTGTTGTCAATTTCTACGTCAGGTGGATAAAAAAGGTGTACACAACGGAGGAATAAACAAGTTCGGGGAGGGGGGTGGGGTAATTAAAACGGAATTTAGTTTAGGTGTACACCAAATAAAAAGTTTCAAGTTCAGGGGGATAATGAGTACTTTTGCCTATCAAAAAAGATGAACAACCAAAAAATAAAAAATAAAAAAAGTCAACAATCTAATCAACGGTAAGCAACGAAGATGTATCCTTCTCAGATTAATTGGGTAAGCCCAATACTAGAAAAGAACCAATGGAATGAAGTGTATCAAGACCACGGTTAGAAATTCTTGGAACCATTCCAAATGCACTCTAAGATGAACTCTCTGCATTAGCAACGTTTTTCACCCCTCTTCCAGTAAAGAGACCGAGAGTAACAAATTCAATATTTTTTAAGATGAAAAAATTAAAAAAAATAAAAATTAAAAGAAATTAAAATTGAAGTGATGAAAAGAAATCTACCTCTTGAATAACTTGAAATCATTAATTGGAAAGAGAAAAAAATTGAAATTAAAAAAATGGATTAATGTACGTAACTGTGGAGAGATTTGTGGTTTGAAAAAAGAAAAGAAAATCATGGGTATGAGATTTCAAATTAATGTATCCGAAAAAGAGATGATGGGAGCAAAATAGGGAATTTTTGATATTTTTTGAAATGTTTGAGAAAATAAGAAAATATGATAATAAATGATGTGTAGTTAGGTAATTTTTCCTCATATGTATTATATTATATAGATATAATATGATGTATAAATATATTATACATAAACATTATATTATATATATATATATATATATATAATATAATATAATATAATATATATATATATATATATATATATTATAATAAATATGTGTGCATGTGTACTGTACTAATTTTCTATTACTTTGTTTCTCTAGAGTATAAGCAACAAGTTGTCGTTTGGTAATTAGTAAAGAAGCTAACTTCATAACAATATATGTATAAGCTATGAGAAATTTTTTATACAATATATGTATAAATTATGAAAAAATTACTATCTTATACAGAATAAAAAAATAGAATAATTAATACTCAAATGACCGATAATATTCAAATACCCGTAAAATCTTCACCTTTATGTGGCTTCCAGATGAAGAAGATAAAGGGCAAAAATGTCTTGATAACTTCTACTATTTAGATTTTTATAGTGATGCACACGTCCTTTTATC